ACTCGATAATGAGGCACACCTACACACACCAACTCACATAACATTTAAGTTAAACCAATCTCAGCTTTGAAGTAAAGGCATATGTATTTGGACATAATGATGATGTCATGAATGATGCCAAATTATACAACTAACTTGTCATTCCAAGACGATTTGCCTGCTTTCTTTAGTTCTTTTAAGATCCCTGATATGAGCATTTTTAATATTTTCTAAATCCTTCTATTTTCCAGTAAAAGCTATGCTTAAATCAATTTAATTTCGTGTAGGGAGGAAAAATTGTAGCAGGCGGTAGTGTTATTGAGTCTCAAGGTTACTTTGTGCAACCCACCATAGTCGAGATTTCTTCTTCTGCTGAGGTTGTGAAGGAAGAGTTGTTTGGACCTGTTCTCTATGTAATGAAGTTTCAGGTGAAAATTTTTCCTACTTTTTCCATTTCACACTTGTCTGAAGGTTTTCAGTTTAGGTGCTAATTGATTTCAAGAGCCACAATATATAACCACATTATTATTGCAGACACTGAAAGAAGCTATTGAAATAAACAATTCTGTGCCCCAAGGTCTCAGTAGCTCCATCTTCACCCGCAGACCTGAAATTATATTCAAATGGATTGGGTGAGCAATCAAAGTTTATTCAAAACAATTGTTATAGCTATTTTCTTTTGTCAAGAATATCTCTGCCGGACACCATAGTACTTCATACATTAAGCTACAAAAGGCACTCTTTTGAGGTTTGATTTGATTACCCGAAACTAAATATAAAAAAAAAAATAAACATCTAACTTTTAAATGATAGAACACTCTGTTTTTTACTTAGTTGTAAATTCCAAATAAATGTCGAAGGTGTTCGATGCCCATATAAATGAGAGTCTTTGCAATTAGTCTAATTACAACAGGTCCTTGTTATCTTTGGAAGTTTACACATTAAGAATGGGAGTATTTGCTAAAGAAAATGCTAGCCTCAAAATGTTATTTCAATTTGTTAAGTTTGTACATGCAAACAGACAAATCTGTTAAAAACAGAAGCAACATTCAAATGTCATTTGTTCGAAGCTTCATCCTTCCCCCTTTTTGGTCATTGGTGCCTTTGACATGCGTAAATTTGTCGCAGGCCACAAGGAAGTGATTGTGGTATCGTAAATGTTAATATCCCAACAAATGGGGCTGAAATTGGTGGCGCTTTTGGTGGTGAGAAAGCTACTGG